TGTACACGTACAACCTCATGTACGATGTACAACCTCATGCACCATGTACAACCTCATGTACACGTACAACCTCATGTACGATGTACAACCTCATGTACCATGTACAACCTCATGTACTATGTACAACCTCATGCACCATGTACAACCTCATGTTCATGTACACGTACAACCTCATGTATCTGTATAACCTCATGTACACGTACAACCTCATGTACGATGTACAACTTCATGTACCATGTACAACCTCATGCACCATGTACAACCTCATGTGCACGTACAACTTCATGTATGATGTACAACCTCATGTACACGTACAACCTCATGTATGATGTACAACCTCATGTACCATGTACAACCTCATGTACAATGGAAGGACGCATCGTCTAGTCCTGTGCCATCCCCATGTTCACTGATGTCTGAACCTCACTGTTGAGGCTAGGGTGTCAATCCACTTCCTAGCACCAAACCTACCACTGTAACATTCTTTTAATAAAAATAAATTTCATTAAACTTTCTATTTTGAGATTATGGTAGATTCACATTGGAGGATTTAGAACCAGTGGAGCTCCTTCCTACCCATTGTCTAGCTCCCTGCTGTGGAAGCATCTTGCAGAATGATCATCCACGAGGAGACCGGCATGGAGGCAGTCGAAACACAGAAGTCTGTCACCCCAAAGGTCCTACATGTAGTCCTTTTTGTGTATGTGTGTGTGACATTTTTGTTTTTTAAGGTTGTGGTTGCCATTTTAAACATTTTAAAGCCTGCAACTTATTGGTATACATACATCTGCAAAGCTGCATGGTCATCACCTTGTTCCAGACATGTTTTTACCACCAGACAACAGGAATTTTACTGAGTCTGACCCCTCCCCAAGCTCTCCCACAGGAACTGGTAAACTGGAGCTGCTGCTGTTTGGTGTGGGATGAATATATGTATGTATGGATGAATGTATGTATGTATGTATGTATGTATGTATGTATGTATGTATGTATGGATGGATGGATGGATGGATGGATGGATGGATGGGAGGATGTATGGATGGATGGATGGATGGATGGATGGATGGATGGATGGATGGATGGATGGATGGATGGGAGGATGGATGTATGTATGGATGTATGGATGGAAGGATGGATGGAAGGATGGATGGAAGGATGGATGGATGGATGGATGGATGGATGGAAGGGCAGGTGTGTGAGTGGATGAATGGATAAAAGAATGAGTAGATAGGCGGGAAGGTGTACAGACAGGTGGGTGATTGGATGAATGGATGTACAGGGAGATGGGTGGGTGTGTGGATAGATGAAAGAGTAAAGGGTAGGTGGCTGGGTGGCTGGGTAAATAATCATGGGATGTGGATAAATTCCCTTCGGAGCCACCTGCAGTATTCTAGGCTGAATATGGTGCATGCGGTCAAAGTTAGGACTGTGGTACCGACTGAGCACGACAAGTTTCGCTCTCCTCTTCCAAGCCCAGAAGAGCATCACTCTGGTGCTCAGCATCCCTGAACATCAGAGCTCGGGGACACCTCTGGAGAAAGTCACAGTGCCACGCACAGTCCCATCCCACTAAGACACTGGTCACACTTGTCACTGATGCAACTCTTTAATCACACATTGGCAAGCATTCTAGGCCTCTCCAGCCTGTGGCCCTTATCCTTGTTTGTCCCTTCCCTGCTGGATCTGAGAAGATTCACTCAAGGCAGGCAGCGTGGGCCAGGCTCCAAGCCAGCAAGGACAGACATCTCCTCCCAGAGGCCCAGCAGAGGCCAGGAGTGCTGGGCTCAAGGTAGCCTGCTGATCTGTTGTTGGATCCAAGGCAGGTAGGTCTGGACATGGGCATACACCCCAGGAAAGTTGCGTAGGGCGCAGCCATAGCCCCAGCTAACAACTCCAACCAGCTGCAACGAACCCGCCATCTTGCAGACCAGAGGGCCTCCAGAGTCGCCCTGAGGAGGGAAGGAGTCATTGAGTTCTGACTCGGTGGTCACCAGCTGGGGAAGAGCCTAGTCGGGAAGTGTGGGCCTCACCTGGCAGGAGTCTCGGCCCTCACTCCCTGCACACACCATGTCATCTTGGATGATCTTCTCCCGATGCTGGTACCAGTAGATGCTGTGGTACTGTTTGTCACAGAGAGAATTCTCCACCATCCGGACCTTCACCTGCTGCAGGCGGTAAGGTGGGGGCAGGTCTTCTACAGGGGAAGCAAGCGAAAAGTGGGTGTGAGTGCGGACTCCCTCCCTCACCTCATGGCTACAGCTCCACCTGCCCCCTGGATATATGTGAGTGGCCGGATCTCCACTGGGAGTCCAGTGTCTGGGTCAAAATAGCTGCACCCCTTGCCCAAGCCACCCCCTGTCCCTGAGCCTCAGTTTTCCCACTGGGACCATAGTATGGGAAGCCCAGGAAGCTGAAGGGTCCTGGCCCAGCTCTAACCCTTGAGGACCGTCAGCTAGAGCTTCCATCTGTTATTGGAAGGACTAGGGAGACAGGGGAGGGATGAGCTGTTCCCATTTCCTCAAATACCATCAGCAAATCAGAAATCAGCATTGTCTTCTTTTTAGGGTGGAGCTCTGGTATCAGGGGCTGGCGAGCTCCCCAGCCCCGGGAGCCTAACGGGGGTGTCGGACATGAAGTGGGGAGCCCAGCTCCCTCTCCTTGCCCTTCAGTACTTGCCCGTCTGGAGCTCACTGACTGGACTTCCCGGGTGACAGGGTCTAGTAATACCTCTGTGCCCGTTCCCCTCTCCCCCACTTACCATACATGGAAATGCGGCCCCACCCAGTCACCCAGCACAGGTTATTGGAAGAGACCGCCTGAGAGTTGGTCGGGAGGCGGACTGGCCTGGTGTTCTCAGACAGTTTCACAGGGGTCTCCAGCTTGAGCAAGGCGAGGTCAGCGCCCAGAGTAGCCTGCACGTAGTCTGGGTGGACAATGATCTGACTCAGGTTCAACAGCAGCTTGTCAGAATAGAGGTACACACTGCCGATGTGGATTCGGAAGGCCCACGGGTCAGCATCTTTCCTGGGGTCAGAGAAGACATGAAGGAGCTCACAGAGGGGCAGGCTTCCAGCTGGTAGCAATTAGCCCACAACCAGGTTCTGTAATTGTGGTTTGTGCACCATGCCCGGGGCCGGCCAGCAGTGGACATGCCTTGACTTCTCAGTGTGTCAGAAAGAACCACCTAGTCTCTGCACACTATCCCCACCGGTGACCCCCACCTGAGTCTTCCACAATGATCCCCTCCTACCCAGTCCATCCTGCCCACTTCTGCCCTGTCCATTCTGCCCAGGAATTGGGGTTCTAAAGACCCTGGCTCACCGATGGATGCAGTGGGCAGCCGTCAGCACCCACTGGGGGTGGATGAGGGAGCCCCCACAGATGTGCACCCAGGAAGCAGAGTAATAGCTGTAGACTCGAAGGCTGACCTGCCAGGGCCACTTCCCCGGGGCAGCACTGTGGCCCCCGACGATGCCCACCAGATCATTCTCGGGGACAGGGGCTGGGAGGCAAGATAAGGGGTTAGTCCCGCATCTCCAGCGCTCTAGGCACAGGTGAGAGGTGCCTAAGTTTCCAGGAGGCTCTGTGGCAGGGCCATGTGAGGTCAACACTCACCTGGGGTTCCAGCAAGGGTGCCCCCCAAGCAGGAGAGACTCAGCACCAGCAGCCACAGCATCTGCAGGGAGAAGGTGGGATCAGGAATTGGGCTGGGGTCAGGGCAGGAAGGACGGGCCAAGCAGAGCCCGTGTGGACATGCCCTTACCGTGAAGGACTCTGTGGCTCTCCCCTAGGCCCCTGGGCCTTTTATCCTGGAGCTACAGGATGTGGGCAGTGGGGGGCAGAGGGAAGGAGGAAGTGGAGGTGACCAAAGGCTGGCATAGGGGAGACTTAGGATGTAGAAATGTTGCCCCAGGCCCCTGAACCCCCAAGTTCTTGGCTCAGAGCCCCCTCACCAAGCCCAGCATAACATGGAGGAGGCAGGTGATGAAGGGGTGTTTCCAGAGCCTTGTGTCCCACAGCCCTCCCTGCACCCCCTGAGGGCTAGCACCCAGGAGCAGGGGAGTCATCAGGGGGATGCAGTGAGGCATTTAGGGTTAGAGTGGGCTTTGGCAAAGTTGGGCTCAGGTGGCACCTGGGAGGCTCAGGTGGCACCACGGCCCAGGGCTCCCACGGATTGGGCCCCATTGCTTCTCACAGCAAGTCCAGCAGCCATGCGGAGGCCCAGTGTGGACCTGCAACCAAGACTGACCTGGCTCTCACAGTGGCTGGAGGAGTCCTGGGAGGGTGCAGGGTGTCTGTAGGAGATAGTCTGTAAGTGTCCTGCTAGACGTGTGGCTCTGAGCTTCCTCAGGTGACTGGAGAAGCATTGCTCTTCATACATCTCTCCTGGCTTAGTGGGCAGAGGAATTGCAGGAAGGTGGGCTCCCTCCCACACCTGAGTCAGCTCCTGCAGAGAGCCTAACCCCAAAGATGGTTCAGGCCCCCTGACTGAAGAGTAACAGCTGTCTCTGCCACACAAGGGACCACTAGAACAGAAGCCTAGGTGGGGTCTTTGGAATTGGGGGATGTAGCCCAGGATGGGGACTGGGTCCCGTGGGAAGGGAAGCAGATATTGTGGAGGAGATGACACTGTGGAGACTGGACGCTGTTGAGGACAGGACGCTGTGGAGACAGGACACTGTGGTGGACACGTGCTCTGTGGGAGTCCACATGCCATTGAGAGGTGAGACCATGTAGGCCGGGGTGTTGTCTCAGGTCAGCAGAAAGACAGTTGGTGTGTTGCAGGATGGCCCATGGTCTCAAGCGTGGCTAAGTGAGCTCTCACGGTCTATCCTGGGGACTGGGGTTCTTCTGAAACCCCCAGAACAGCGCTGTCACAACCCTGGTGGGTTTGTCACAAGTTGGCGTGGACTCGAAGGCAAGGAGTTTGATTTTGTTGTTGTGTATCTTTTTGGCAATTCTAATTGGCATTACCAGTGTATAGAAGCACTGTTGATTTTTCTTGTGTGAAGCTGCCTCACAACACATGTAGTAGTTCAACAGTTGTCTGTAGAAGACCTGGGGGTGTCTATGAAGGATGCCCTCTTGTCTGCAGAACATGGCTGTCTTGCTTCTTCCATTTGCATCCTGGTCCTTTTTGCTTGTCTCCCGTCTCTTGTGTGCTTCCTGGGTTGACCTCCCTCGAGGTGAACACAGGGCAGGCCCCTCCCCAGAATACAGTGCTACTAATGGTTACTGTCTGGTAGCGTAGTGGTTACGAATCAGGCTGCGAACCTCAAGGTCAGCAGTTCGAAACTACCAGAAATTCCGCAGGAGAAAGATGAGGCTTTCTGCTCCCATAAAGATTTACAGTTTCGGAAACCCTGTACAGGGTCACTATGGGTTGGAACCGACTCCACGGCACCTAACAACAATGGTTACTGTTAAGCAGGATGTTTGCGGTGGGCTTTGGTGAGGTCCTCATTATCTAGTTTCCTTTGACTGAATTTGCTAAGACTTTTATCACAAATGGAGGCTGAATTTAATCAATGCTTCCTCCTTTATCTATAAAGATGATCATAAAGCTGTTTATCTTCACTTTTTTAGAATGGCAAATTATAGTCATCGATTATTTAGTGTTGCATTGTTCTGGTTTAAAACCCACTAGGTTTAAGTGTAACTTTTTTTTTTTTTAATACATTGTTAGATTCTGTTTGCTGATGCTTTGTTTCTGAATTTTGAATCTATGTCCATAGGTGAAAGTAGATTAAATTTTGTCCTTTCTTCTCCAGATGACATTAGCTTTATAATTTTTCTATCCTCTGAAAGAGTTCATAGAATGTGAGGATTCCGTATTCCTTGGAGGTTTAGTATCCCTCACCTGTATAGAACATGAGGATTCCGTATTCCTTGCAGGTTAAGTATCCCTTGCCTGTGTGGAATGTGAGGATTCCATATTCCTTGCAGGTTAAGCCTCACCTGTATAGAACATGAGGATTCCATATTCCTTGCAGGTTACGTA